GTGGTTGTACTTTAAGGGGCATAAGTGTCAAAACAAGGGCGTGCTAGTATGTGGTGCTGTAGTTTTCTTGGATACATTCCATTAATGCAATTTCAGCTGTGAGCTCGTAGGCAAACTGTTCAATGGACTGGAATCGTTTTGCATGTCTCTCCTGTTTTTGCACTCTCGGCTTTGCTGGCCTCCTGCGAACATCGTCCGCTCGTCTCGTCGCTCTGAATGTGTTTTCAGTAGCGAGGAGTGAGTTCAGCGCTTACTGTGATTGATTATAGCTGCTTGTCTTGTGCCCATCTGTCTTTAACTTTCGATTACAGCCGGCCATTGTATGCTGTATTTTTAATCGGGATTTAAAGTGATGCTTATTTTTCCCCATGAGTAGCAGATTTCCTTTACTTTTCTTTACGTATCGGTACTTCATAAGAGGGGCTTTAAATGTCTGAATGCAGGTCGTGTTTTGGTACATTCTAGCGTAGCTGCTGTACGTTCATTATATTTCGCGATTTTTGCGCGTCAGGTTATTTAGCTTCGATCCCCCAAATATCAATCTGCCAATACGGCGTTGTGTTTTACAGTAGAAACACAACGATACTGCAGATGACTCTTATTTCCGGTGAAATAAGCGTTTTTCCTGCCATACGAAACACTCTGTACCTGGAATATTTTCTACACACTTAAAAATTGTTGCGCCGAAATAGACAAAAAAAAGAACAATGGCTTTATATTTTATGATTTGTGTTTCTAGCCTGTGTAGCCTTAAAGTCTCTTGATTTGATCCATCTCTCCAGCAGATTTTGGACATAAGCAATAGTAGTATCATGTTTCGCTAACAGACTAAACCGTAGATCCTAAAGCACAAGCTCTTGTAATGCATGTCTTTCTCAGGTTTTAATATGCGTATGAGAATGGATACATATGTTAAAATATTTGACCATAAATATTTCTGATGTTTTTTCTGCTGCTGACATAAAAAGAAAAAAGAAAAAATAGTTGAATAACCTGCCAGTGAAAGGGAAGTGGCTCTTTGTATAAGACACTGCTGTGTGCTGTTACTGCGCAATGTTTTCTGACATTAATATTTTATAGCTCAAGTAGAAAAATATGTATTGACAATATTTAAGCAATAGCTTGGTGATTATAATGTATGATAACTAGATAAGTGTATATTGCGTAAAAAAAAAAATCTTAGATTCACTTCGGGTGGATTTTGTACTGTATTTATTACTAATGATGATGCAAAAAGTTGCATAGCTTAACCCAAATTTTCTTTCTTTTTTAATTTCTTGTCTTGTATATGACCCTTTTTGTATGTGTTTTTTTCAAATAAAATGTCGAAAATGCCTCAACATATTTTTCAGTGTTGTTTCATGCACAGCTGACGTCATCTACATGGTGAATATTAGCCGTTAAATCAGGAACTTGAACATATTTGCGTAAGGACCTGTCCCAATACGTATGGTCTTGACCACTTGAGAACACATACCCTGCGTCTCAATGTTCATACTATCCATCCTAAATAGTATGTGAGATTAGAACTGTCGCTCGTGTCGCCGGAAGTCGCCAGCTCTCCATTGAAAATGAATGGGATTGTGTCGCTCTGTCGCTGTGTGTCGCTGGCGCCCCGTTCACACTACAAGCGACACGTAACAGCAAAGCGACACAATCCCATTCATTTCAACGGAGAGCTGGCGATTTCCGGCGACACGAGCGACAGCGGCCCTTGGCAACCGGATGGGGCGTGTCCAGCGACGCGACAAAGTTCAGAATCCTTCAACTTTATG